GCAGGGCTCTTAGAGGGCTAACACCAAAGGGATTTGTCTATTGCTTTTTTAATTAACAAGGTTTTAGAAAACTGAGAAGGTCCTGACAGCTCATGAGAGAGACAGCCGGTCTGCAGAACCTGCTGCCACCCTGACGACTCAGAGGGACAGTGACCGCTTGTTCTTCCTGCCCTTGGAAGAATCGACCTTCACAGTCTCAAACAGCGGCTTCACCAGCTCCGTCCTCCCCCGATCAGAGCTTTGCAGACCTGGATCCCCTCCAGCGTGCGGTTGCAGCAGACCGCCCTCAGCTCCTGCTGCAGTCGCTGCCGTGGGAATTTCCCCTCAGCTTCCTTAACCCACTGTTCCACCTCCTGCATCAGCGTTTCTGTCTTCAGAGTCATCCGACCAAAGAGTACGAGCAGTGTCTCCAGGAGGCACTGCAGGCACTTGGTGGAGCCCACATCATCCAGTTCGATGGCCAGCTTGAAGCACTCGATGGCCAGTGTTTCCTGGCTTTTATGCTCCATTTGCCCCTGCAGAGCTGCAGTTTGGGTAGGGTATCGCCCAGGCCAAACTCCATGGCTTTGTTCAGGAGTTTCATTCACCAGGAAGAGTTCTTGCATGGCATCCACCCTCATGTAATAGTAAATAGTAAATAAAGGCAGGGCAGGACAACAGAGGCCTGTCAGGAGAAAACAGAGACCAACGGCTGCCTCCAAGGATGACATTTCCCCATCGGGCTCTGGGGACAGGAGTAGTAGAAGTGTGGCCGACGTACTCTCAGCACCATGTCCATAGTGTACACGCAGGGATGGATTCCTGCTCCCGTCCTTGTGTGTAATGTCTCCCGGTGGCTCTTCACTCCCGTAAGCTCTCTGAATTCCCTCCCAGCTAAGGCTAATATTAACTGCAGCAATTCCTCTGTTCCCTGTCCCTACGTTCAGCTCTGCTGTACCCCTCCATCTCGCTCACACCTAACTTGAGCCGAGCCCAACAGGAAGGAGAAGCACCCGAGTGCCAGTCCCCTCAGTCTTTGTGGTCTAATTTAGGGCTGAGAGTTAATGAAAACCTGGGCACACTGCAAAGAGCTCCCTGGGATCTCAGGGTTATGATGTGCCTATCCTCACCTGGCCCATGTCCAGGTTTGTCCTCAGGTGCGGACAAACCTTGAGGACCCTTTCAAGGTCATTTTTAGCATGAGTGAGCTTACTTCTGTCAGTCACTGGACCCTGTTCCATCTTAGGTCATTTCAGCTTTCTCCAGTCAAATCTGACAGACAGGCATCACCTGGCACCCAGTGATCACCTCCACACTGCATTTTTCAGCCTCCTGCCTCGAGCTCAAAGGAAGTTAAACATCTCTGAAAAGCAGTTGTAAGCACACATTAAAGTACGCCACTAGAGGAGAAGATTTCACTTCACTGAGCCTCATTTTATGAGGAGTTAAATAATCCTGTTTAAATATAAGGAAGTAAGAATGAGTCCTCGTTTTATTTAAAAACGAGATTTGAAGAAATCTTCATGATTCTTCTGTAATGGAAAATACTCACTAAAGTGCACTCCTGTTTACAGGGGGCTGGAAATGAGCAAAATCAAAGGATTAAAGAGCACGTTCTTGATGCGCCTGAGTGATTTAGGAGTATTAATGTCATTAAATAGTTCTACAAGGTGACTCAGCATCCTGTGAAATGTTGCCCGGAGGGACCTGGGGAAGTCTCTCAGCAGCTCGGTGCCAGAGCCAGGATCTGGCCCAGATTTCCTGGCTGCCAGGTAGTAACTTCACTTCCAGAGCAGCCTTCACTGGTTTTGTCAGGCAGTTATTTCTCCCGACATGTTTCTCACCACAATTAAACAGGCAATACCAACGCCGTCTGGGAGAAGCACGGTGGCTGCCTCGGAGGCTGGAGGAGCAGGACAGGTCCCTGCGGGAAGGGGACCTGCCCACACCTTGGACACCCAGCACGCAGTGCTGGCCTCGACAAGGACTCACCTTGTGCCCAGGTGCAGTTCACCTGCCAGCTGAGCTGCGGGTCCCGCAGGACCTCCAGAGCCATATTGCATATCCCTTTGGCCACCTCCTGCTTGCCCAGGAGTGGAAGGTTTTTGCCAGGCGGTTCAGGGTGGGAGGGTTGTCTTTTGCCATTTCTATCACCTGTTTGAGCCAGAGAAGTGAAACATGTTTCCGTCAGTGACTTATTGCCTGTTGTGCTGATCAAAGGGACAAAACCATCTTGGATTGATTCGCCAGCATGGTGTTTTAACTGGGAGGGTTTAAGGCTATGCAAGAGACGTGGTCTGCAGGGAAAGCTGATACCTCCTGTTAAACCAGCAGACAGGACTGAATGCGGGGCTAAGCTCGGGGGTTATGTGCCTGAAAGCCTGTCTGTGCTCCTTATTTTTTCCAGCTGTGCCAGGGGAATCTAATAAAGGTACTGCTCTGTCCCTGCAGCCTTTCACCAAACTGCTTTCCCACTGCTTTGCCAGGGGCTGATTTATGCCATCGGGACCGAACGCGTGGCCTGAGAGGGGTGTGCCCTGCACGTGGTGGAACCGAGGGTCTTGGCTCCCATCTGGGGTCTCCTCCATTTGCCCTGGGGAATTTCCAGGTGGAAAAATGTTGAGGATGGGGGGAAGATGAATGACGGACCAAGCAGGGAACGGCAGCTGCCTCCAGTCAGTCCCTGGTGCGGCAGCGCTGGGTATAGCACCTTGCCAAAGCAATTGAGGGGGTCAGTCTCAGAGAAGCCACAGTCCTGGATCCCCGTCAGGCTGGTGGAAAACATTTCTTTCCTTTCCAGCAGCATCCCCAGGTAAGACCAGGCCAGGGCTAGGGAAAAGAAGTCAGGGCAGGTGAGAGGCCAAGTCATTCGGTGACTGAACCTCTCTCCATCCTGCCAAGGATTTGCAGTTTGGTCTTGGGGTCTTGGCACAGAGAGGTGGCACATCCCAGCTGACCCTGGACATGCTCTTACACAGCTTGTAAGGTCCACGAGCCCACGGTGCTGGCTCACACACCTGGCTGACTAAATTTCCTGAGGACTTTCAGTCCCTCCAGTGATGTTACTGTAACTGCACGACTGCAGGACAATGTTTTTATGCCCAGTGAAGTGGTAGTTGCAGGACTTGTCTTAGATTCACCCCTTGGGAAGTTACGAGGGGATATAAAATTACTGCACATCCCCTGCACCCTGGCAGCTACCCAAGGTGCAGGCACTCCTGGTAACTCTCGGGTGCTTTCAGATAGCTCCTCCTGAGCAGACAACACTTTGGAAAATAAACAACATTGATAAAAATATAGTAATTAAACCAATTAGAAGAATACATATCATCATCTGAGGTTCAGGGCTACCTTGGATGTAGTACATACAGCATCCATCAGTGCTGGATGCATTACACTATGAGTTGCGTGTGCGTAGGGACCAGAGATGGGTTTTACTTACGGAGGGTGCACTCGATCCCCTCGTCCAAATCATCAATAAAGATGTTAAACAGGACTGGCCCCAACACTGAGCCCTGAGGAACACCACTGGTGACCGGCCGCCAGCTGGATTTAGCTCCATTCACCACCACTCTCCGGGCACGGCCGGCCAGCCAGTTTTTCACCCAGCGAAGGGTATTCCTGTCCAGGCCATGAGCTGCCAGTTTCTCCAGGAGAATGCTGTGGGAGACGGTGTCAAAGGCCTTGCTGAAGTCCAGGTAGACCACATCCACAGTCTTTCCCTCATCCACCAAGCGAGTCATCTGGTCATAGAAGGAGATCAGATGGGTGGCCCAAGAGACCACTGGCAGCTAAGCGTCTCACGCCGCTCCCTTGTCCCAGCAGAGGAGAGGCACGCAGCCGAGCACTGGCACTGTCAAGGGTTTCCTGGATGAGCTGATGTTGAAGGAGAACGAGAAGAAAGGCTGCTTCAGCACCCTGCTGAGGAACCTGGGCTGCCCCACTGAGGGGATCTTCTAGGCCACGCTCAACCAGTGCCGAAGAGAGGTGATCAGTGGCGGCATGGACTATCGACACCAACCGGTGCTCATACTGTGGTGGGTGCCTGGTGTGGGGATGTGTTAGGCCCTGGGAGAAGGGATGGACAGGTGGGTGGGTGGCTGGCTGGCTGGCTCTCCGATGTTGTACAGCTCTTTTTATGAGCAAACTGAAGCATAACAGGTTTCCTTCTGCACCGTATGCAGTGGGGCTGGGATCCTATAACCCAAAGCCCGTTGAGAGATCAGTGTAGTCCAGCCAACCCCCCCTTCTGATCATCTGCCAAGAGATTTGACAGAAAGTCCTTCTGCCTCTTTCCTGGGGACGAGGTGGGTGAATGGACACGGCAGTGAGAGAGGGATGCGGGAACGGTCAGGCTCTGAGCTGCCTCCATGACCATCCCCGCTCCATTACCAGCACCCCTGGGAAAGGATGAAACTCTTCTGAGCCAAGGTAAGGGTGGGCACTGCTCACCAGCTTCAGACAGCTAAACCTTAGAAGTGTCCTCTGAACAATGCAGCACCCCAGCAGAAGTCCCATGTCAGGTGTCTGGCTGTGACAGAAGGGCAGACTGACCTCAGGAGGTGCTTTCTCTCCCCGTTGATTATCAAGGAAACCTGGGAGACTTGGTCAGATACTCAGCCTTTAGAGAGGAGTCGAGTCCCTCTCTGGATGCTGTTGTTCTTGCCAAGAACAGGTTGCTAAAGAATAATCAGTGAATAAAGGCCCACGGCCCAATGTTCTGCCAGGTCAAGGGAAAAGCGCCTGCTGTATACAGCCGCGCGCTGAGAACCCACCACTGAGCACGTGCTGCCTGTAGGCAGGTGAGCTTGGCTGGTGCTGAGCAGAGAGGCAGGAGCTCCGCAGTGACCACGTTATCTCTGCCTGCATCCTCAGGCCTTTGCCCTTTTCAAGGGATGCTCAGACAACCCTTCTCATGAATTTTGCTCTGCATCAGCTGCAAGCAAAATGGATGCACTTCACGGATGAGGGCAGCTGGGTTTGAGTTCTTTTAGCTGACAGGAGCTCCTTGTATCCTCCCAGAAAGTCATATTCTGCTGCTTGAAAGCCAGTTTTTCCTCTAGCAGCATCAGCAGCATGTTGCAAAGCCAATGCAGGTAGGAGTCCTTCCCTCAGTACCCATTCCTGGAGCTGTATTCATCTTGGCAGCTCTGTCACGGAGAACCAGAACAAAGCCTAAAGGGCTCAAAGCAGACAGGGAAAGCTTTGGTCTGAAATAGTCCACCTTGGCTAGAGATGAGGAGCAGGCTTCCGTGTGGCTTCTCTCCTTTATCCAGCTGTGTGGGGAACAGGCAACTTGAAAGAGGTCAAGGATGAAGACATCTTCATAATTGCAGGGGAACTCGACAGATTATATTTCAGTGGGGAGGCTGTGACATGGCAGCCCTTCACCAAAGTTAGCAGCAGGCAACTGGTGAGCGTTCTTGAGCCTGCAGAGCTAATGGACTTCTTTATGGACCGCTGTGATGAGAAGAACTGCTCATGAAGAGGACTGGCCAGGCTAACACCGATTAGCATGTCTTCTCCTCCCTCCCCTGCAATATAGGCTCGGTTTGGTTAAGACATGCCACATATTGTTGTATCGGTTGCTGAGGTGAGCGGCTCCGGTGCCAGCATGATCAGCAGCGGAGCACTCTAGTGCGGTGCAGGGGGGGTTTCCCAAACCGAGGGAACCTCAGGGTGAGCCCAGAGACCCACCGGGAGAGCACAGCTTGTGTGACAGCGGCTGATGGGACCTGGGTGCATCACGAGCAATGGCAGCCAAGCCCCCCACACGTATAAAAGCCCGCAGGGAGCACCAGGGTGGGGAAACAGGGCATGGTGCATCAGCAAGGGTGTGGCGCGGCAGCTTGTGCGTCAGTTTGCACGGCAGCTTGCACAGAAGGGCGTGCAGGAAAGGTGCTGAAGCTCTGCCAGCTCGACCAGGTATTAACGGTATCCAGTTAGCAGAAACCCGTGGCCTCCCTAAGCTCTGCACCCACGACGACTGACGCAGCATCCCAGGCAGAGCTCTTGAGCCAGTATGGGATGGCATCCATGAGCACACCTGCGGGAGGTGTGCCCAGGGAGAGGAACTCCTCCGCTCTGTGACAGATCTCTGGGAGGAGGTGAGTAGGTTGAGGAGTATCAAAGGCAGCCTACTGGACCCACCTTCCCTGGGACAGACACAGCGGGCAGATATGATGTGTGATATGGAAGATTCCCTATCCTCTGTCCACCTGGCTGAACATCATGACTTGGAAGATAAGGGGCAATGGGGACAAGTTCCAGCCCGATGCAGCAGGCGTGTCTCCTCTGTGACTGCCCCATCTGCCCAGGTGCCCTTGCAAAATAGGTATGAGCCTCTGCAAGTGGAACCGAACAATGACAAGGATGATGGTTCATCTAGCATGGAGATGCCATCGAGGTTAAGCCAGCCTAGGCCCTGCATCAAAACTGCTTCCATAAAGAAGAAAAAGACATGTCATTGTCATAGGAGACTCCCTTCTGAAGGGAACAGGAGGCCCAATATGCCGACCAGATCCACTTCTCAAGGAAGTCTGCTACCTCCCTGGGACCTGGGTTAAAGGTGTGAAGAGACAGCTTCCTACCCTGGTACCGCACTCAGACTATTATCCATTATTGATTTTTCAGGTAGGCAGCGATAAAGTCACAACAAGAAGTCCGAGGGCAACCAAGAGAGACTTCAGGGCCTTGGGACGACTGGTTAAGGGGTCTAGTAGCACAAGCTCTGTCCTTGCAGAGGATGAGAGAAGAAACAGGAAGATCCAGCAGATCAATACCTGGCTCCAAGACTGGCGTCACCCGCAGAATTTTTGGGTTTTTGATCATGGGTCCGTCTACACGATACCAGGCCTGCTGGCGACAGACGGGGTACACTTGTCTCAAAGAGGGAAAGGGATCTTTGCACAGGAGTTAGCAGGGTTCATTGAAAGAGCTTTAAACTAGATTTGAAGGGGGAAAGGGATAAAACCGGGCTTGCTAGAGATAAGCCTGGGGGCAACACCCCAATGTTTGAGGGATGATGTGCTAGCAACGTCCTTCAGTCTGCTGTCTCAGTGGATGTAGAGGATGGAGATCCATGCAGCAGCAAAGACGTAAGCATTGTTGATGTGTTAGGAACCACAGAAGTGCCTGAGAA